GGTCTTTGATGCCGAGTGTATCCTCAACAAACGCATAAAGAAGGTAACAAACATCCACACGAACACACACATTCAGCGCGCGTGAATCGTGATCCGACCTCAACGCGTGTTTGATTTCCACAGGGAAAACTGGAGTATCTGGTCAAGTGGAGAGGATGGTCGTCCAAGTAAGTGAGAACTGAGACAAATACTGGCTTTTTTATGTGTGTGAGAGTATATATGCAGACTATGTATGCATTATAGTACTTTGCTAATGCCGCACTATTTTACTCACGGTGCCTGTAAACATCATTGAATGTGGATCGCGAGAAAGGGGAGAGAGAGAGAGAAACAATGAAAACAACAACAACAGCGTGTTGCGCGTCTAATTTCGCGTCCACGCGTGATTTCGTTCACTGTATCACACTGCATCAGATCGGCTCGCCTTTGCCTCGTTTTGCTGCATTTCTCTTTGTCTTCCAAGTTAAGTTACTTTTTTTTTTTTTTTTTGGCTTCGGCTTGTTGGGGTTTGTTTTGTCTGGTCGCGGTTGTTTAAAATAAAATCGAAAGAAACAAAACACAAAAAAACTTGCTTGCATTATTTTTAGTGTTATGTTTTATTTTCGTTTTCAGTGAAAAACCTGCATGTTTCGAGAGTCGCTCAGTTGTTATGAAGTAACGCATTCTGTTACTTTGCAACAATTTGTTCTTTTGTAATGAAAACGGTTTGATCTCGCGCCGCTCGGCGCGTGGTTTGTTTCGAGTTTTTTTTTCTTCTTTAAAAACTCCAGCTGCCCCCCAACCCCCCTAATGCCCCCGCTCTTGCTCTCTGTTACATTGTCGCCCCCTTTTTGCCCCGTCTATGGGCACTTGAGCTGTCAATCACACGAGCCACGCCTCCCGCCCGCGCGCTTCCATCTGCTTCATTGATTATTTACAACTCCCATCTTTTTTTATCATCTTTATTATTACTTGATCAAGCAGGGTCATAAACAGACCACAACTGAGGGCAAAATGCCACTGAAAGTGTCTAAAATACTGTTGATGTTTGAGGAGAGGTGAATTCTGGTCGTTTAGTTTAAAATTTGATATATTTCACTGTACAGTGTAAAAAATATTGTTGGTTTAGTAACCTGGCTGCCTTAAGTGGAAAAATGAGTTAATACAATGAAGGTGATTGATTTAATCATCGGAAACTTAAAATATTATGTTATCTGAACTACATAAATTAAGTTGATTTGACAAAAGAAATAATGTTGTGATTACAAATCATTAAAATATTTTTTTACAGTGGATAAGATATACAATACTGTTGTTGTGCACTTAAAAATTGTGACGTACTTATCTTAACTCTTTGCTGGTCTGTCATGATTGATTTGCATGTGCATGATATTCTTCAAGAAAAAAAATGTATATTCTTTCATCAAAATATATATATATTGAATAACTACACTCTAAACAATGCTGGGTTGTTTGAACCCAAATTTGGGTAAAAAATGGACAAACCCAAATGTTGGTTTTCAAATTTTAACCCAACTTCAACTTTCACCTGTACATTTTTTAATTGCATTTTTAACCCAACATTTGGGTTTGTCCATATTTGACCCAAATTTGGGTTGAAACAACCCAACATTTTTTTTAGAGTGTGTAATAACTTCGCCACCTCTGAAACAACTTGTCCTTGTGAGTGAATGTCTCCAGGCTCTCTTATTATTATTATTCAACCACCTGTTACTTGAATGCATTTTTAACCATTCAAACAATTCCTGATGGAAGAAAATCAAGTCTTGTCCTTATTGGAAGTAGTAGTGATGGAAGTAAACCGAATGCCGTTGATTGAGTAATGGTGGGTTAAGATTTGTGTCAAATCGAATCCAGACGGTCCAGACTCTTTGAAGCGCCGTTTAAAGTAAACTCTCATCTTTTCATTTTTCCATCTGCTATGTAATGCAGACAAAACTTGCAAACAAAAGCATCTAACTAAACTCCACGTCCCTTCTGTTCACATTTACAGTCGTAGATGCAAAATTGGTACCCAAATGGTTGCTACACAAATAGCTTGTTTTGCATGCTTGGTTATGCTGATTCAATTTAAGTGTGTGACATGCTCTAATTCGTTTAAAAAAAACTTGTTTTGGGCAATGATTTGTATTTTATGTGCATATGATTCATATCCATACCATCCATACCTGGAAGACTATGAAATATTTGTATGTCTTAAAACTAATTGGTAACACTTTACGATAAGGTCTTAGTTAATCTATTAACTAACAACGAGCAATACATGTGTTACAGTATTTGTTAATATCAGTTAATTTTATACAAATATATAGCTATTAATTGTTAGTTCACAGTGCATTAACTAATGTTAACAAATACAACCTTTGATTTTAATAATGTATTAGTAAATGTTGAAATTTATATTAACTAAGATAAATAAATGTTGAAGTATTGCTCATTCTTCGTTCATGTTAACGGTAGTTAAGTAATGTTAACAAATGAGCCGTATTGTAAAGTGTTACCACTTAATATGTTAGATTAAAATGGATCTTTAACCATCTTTTTTGTATCATGAGCATGTTATGCGTCATCTACTCACATGCTTAAGATGCCAGTGTCTGTGTTTCAGGCATAACAGTTGGGAACCTCAGGAAAACCTTCTTGACCCGAGACTATTGGCAGCGTTTAACAAGAGGTAAGAGGTTTCTCCCATTGGACGAGCAGGCCTGTGTGTGAGAGAGACGCCCCCTTTTCTCCATGTGCAAACAATATGGGCTGCAACGCTTGGGAGGGTGTAAATGGGGCTCCATTCACAGGCCATTCAGGGGCTGCAGACGTGTCCAGGCTCACGAGGGCCTCTGCAGACCGACTGAAAATCAAACATCGTTAACATTTTTAACACTTAACATTTTCAGCAGAACTAGTTTTCTCTGTCAGCATTTCGGTTTCACAGTTTATGAAGAATCAGTCTGAAACCAGACTTGGATTACACGAGAAACATAACCACACGTTGACACCAACTTTCTACTGTTAAGTTAAAACTAGATTTTACAACAATTTTGTTAAGGAGATTGTTGAAATATGGTTCGGGTCTATCCTTTTTTTCTCTTGTCATTGGGAAAACGTAAGTCTGATTACATTTGAGGTATCATTCATGTCACAAACGATAAAGATTTGTTTGTTTTTATTTTAGAAAACACCACTGTTTGCTAACGCATCCACCAAAAACAAAGACAAAAGAAATGTGATGTTTTTTGCCCAAACTAGAACCACAGAGTCTTCTGACAGGAAGTAAGGAAAAAGAACAGGAAGTGAGGAGGAGTAAACGTTCATTCATAAAAACAGGAAATGAATTTCACAATCAGCACCCACTGTTTTTTGCCGTTCTTGATATGTTAGCCAAAAAAATTATAATAATAATCTTGTACAATATACAGCAGTCGACATTTTGAAGTGGAGCAAAACCTTTCATCAAAGTTATAAATGAATTTTGAACAATACTGGTTCTTGTCTTTTTTGATCCACTTCATCTGTATATAAACTTGCGTAATGGCTGTAATGGTCATATATAATAGAATTTCATGATACACTCTTTGAAGAAATGGTTCTATTTAGAACCAGAAATGGTTCCATCCCCCGCTTCATATATGGAACTCCAAAATGGTTCTATATAGAACCATTTTTTTTTTTGGGGTAAAAGGTTCTATTGGCCTAAATTCTAAGTACGTTTAAATTCTAAGTTCTGTTCTAAGTACGGAACCCCAAGGTTCTATATAGAACCTAGAGGAACCCTTGTTTTAAGAGTGTATAGAACCTTTTAGGGGTTCCAAATACGTAGCGCTGATAGAACCTTTTCTTCTAAGAGTGTAGCAAAGACAGCAGGATAAACAATTTAATTCAACATAAATATAGCGAATTTGTAAGTTTTGCATTTTTTAAAATCCATTCTTAGGGAGCAGGAGCGGGAACTCTTGATCAGTAAAAAGGGGAAACGGCCTCGTGGACGACCCAGAAAAATATTGGTGAGTTTGTCACAAAAGAATGTGAAAACGCAATTTGCGCCATACATTATATTCTCATCGTTTTCTATATGCTTCTTTCTCAGGACACCATTCCAGTGGTCTCCAAATCAAGCAGCTCGTCCTCATCATCCTCGTCTTCTGGTTCGTCTTCATCTTCCTCGTCTTCTTCCTCTTCTTCAGATGACGACGACGAAGATGATACCGACAGGAATCCGAAGCCGAGTCCTCGTCCACGAGAGCATCACCCGGTCCCGCAGAAGAAAGCGCAGATTGTCGTGGCCAAGCCGGAGCCGCCGAAGAAGCGAGGGAGGAAAGCGTTGCCTCCGGAGCTGAAGGCGCTGCGTCAGGCCAAAGGTCCTCGGAAGATCCTCAAGCACTCGGACCTCAGAGGGAGCATAAAGAAACCGCTCATGCCCGCAAGCTTCACCTACACCGGGTTGAACCGAACCTCCGGAAGGGAGCCGATGACACTGCAAAACAGAGGTGCTTTTACCCAGAAGAGTTCTTTAAGTTCCCTTGGACGCTCTGTCGGGTCAGCCTCCACGCCTCCTACACTAAGTCGGCCGGCACAAATAAAATCCTCCTCAGATTTCAAGCTCTCGGTCTCGGATATGGGCAGCGGAGGAGTCGATCCCAAAACGCCTACGTGCAAATCTTCAGGAGTGGCGGCGTTGAATGTGCACAGCAGCAATGGACAAACCTGTCCACAACTCTCTCCAAATATGCCGAGAAAACAGGAGGCGTTGGACAAGACTCTTCTTCAAAGATCAGCAGGATCTCTCCAGAAATCTCCATCGAGCTCCTTTTCGTCTCTCAAAACGCCCTCCAGCCTTCAAGCGCTCAATCTACAGAGCGTCGACAAAACGGCGCAGGGTAACGGGACCGACAGTGCCTACTTGAAGGGTTCCCCTAATCCGGGCAGGAAAAGTTCTGGGTTTAACACAAGACACGAGCAGAGTCCTGCACCGAACGTCCCTAGTAAGTTCACGCCCAACCAACAAGTCCTAAAGAGTCCGCAGCGGGAGAAATCCAAAGCGGACGATTTGTCCGAGAGGCTCGGGAAGAAGAATCAAGGTCGAGCCGATAAGATTCTGGCTCAGACTCCGGCGCCCGAGGGTCGAGATTCCCAACCGGTGCAAGACAGAGCCTTGTCTAAAGATCCCGGGAAACAAGGCAAGACTCTGAGCGAGTTGAGCACCGGAGAAGAGGGAAGCAGCTCGGATTCTGAACACGATTCCTCGTTTCCGAGGGACAACCGGGACCTGGGCATCTCGGTGCAGGCGGGACAGGACTGGAGGCCGACGAGGAGCCTGATAGAGCATGTATTTGTCACCGACGTCACTGCAAATCTGGTCACTGTGACGGTGAAGGAGTCGCCCACCAGCGTCGGGTTTTTTAACATCCGTAACTATTGAATGTCGTCAACTGAAGCTGCAGCTACTCTGGGGATAATCGGGAGAAGCTTCGAAAGAATTAGCTTTCTTGGTGCTTCTCAATCTTCAATGGATTTTACTTGTTTTAACTCTTTTAGTTGGTCAGTTTCTTGGAGTAGACCAATGCCTGAAGACCAGCTCAATCAGAGACATGTGTAGTCTCACCTAATTTGAATCCAGCGTAAATGTATGTTACCGACCATTCGTCTTGGTTTCCACAGCAGGGATGGCTTCTTGTTCTCTTGATGTTGATTCCGAGTACTGTATTAGTAAAGAAGAAAATCAGAACAAATGTATCCAAAGTGTTTTAAAGCTGAATCTCAGATCACATCTTTTAAGGTGCCTGTTTGTAAAGCTGTCCTCTTTCTGCCTGATAACAGTTATAACTGAGGGTTTGTTTTTCCTTCTAGAGTGAATGTGGGCATTTTTTTTATACTACACAACAGTTCTTTGTTTATTTATTATTATTTCTTACTGGTTTTTTGTTGTTAGGTGACATGCTGAAACACACAGTAAAGATACTTTTTTATACAAAATTCCTCATTGTCTGTTCTGAATCAAACCTAGAGTTTAGAGCATGAATGTGTCTAGGCTGTATTAGGGTTGTGACGGTGAGTATATTTTCTCACTGGTTAATCGACGTGTGGTAATACCGGTGTCACCGGCGGGTGCTTTTAAATCGTTAATGGCAAACGTAAAATGGGCATACATAACGGTGCGGTAGACTAGTGTGGGAAAGAACTGTTTTGTTACCATTTGTCACCATTTTTGTCCAACAAAGCAGCAAAGGAGAGTCAGTAGATTAACGTCGGTGGAACTTGGCTTTATCAGGCAATCTGTCACGACACATTAAAGAGCCACAAAACGGCCTATTTATTGTTTGATTTTTTTTTGACGGACCAAATTTGAAAGTTGAGACTGTTTCATATTAAATATTACCTGCTCGGTCCTGTCTGTCAATGCGTTGTCAGTGTCCTCTATTTTTCACTGCTTGAGAACATGGGTTGAATCCGAAATCGCCCCCTAAATCCTCATTTACTAGGCCTATTACCTACATTAGTCCACTAATACTGTTGACTTGAAGGAGTGAATGAGGAGGAGTAAGTAAAAACGAGTGAGCGAATTCAGACAGAGACGCGATCTGACGCGTCCCATTTTATCACAAATCTCTACGTTCGTTTAAGACTGCTCTTATGGACGTTTTGGCATAATTTGCGTGTTACGGTTTGTTCAAGCCCGAAAGGGAACTCGATACCGACGCGTGTCTTTTCTGTGGGTCGTGAGTGTGTTAATAGGCAGGATTTAACGACTACTGCGTAATTGCGTTCAATATTTTTAAGGCTTTAAACTTTTTTTCACATGCCAGCCGCGGTGGGCATGTCATGAAACCGGTGTTGCGACTGAACACCGACTACCGTAGCAAGCCTAGGCTGTATATATTCAGGGGTTGTAGGAATGATAAGCCGCGTTTCCACCGCAATTATCAGGGACTATTTGTCCCAGGAACTTTTTTCATAGGAACTTTTTTTGCCCCAGACCGCTTGCTTACTGCGTTTACACCGCGGACTAAGTCAGTGTGTCCACCAAAGCGTTTTTAGCCAGCTGAAAACGCTAGACGCTCTGCTGAAGACGCCGTGCTTTGGGCTCTTGAGAGCGTTTTGGCAGCGCAGCATTTTTTCTGTTGAGACTTTTCGTTGCTATGATACAGAATATATAAAGCAGTTTGAATGTTGTGACAGTTGGTCGGTGTGGTTTAGTCCCGCCCCTCCTCCACTGTGATTGGATGGCTGGGTAAAATGTGACTGTGATGAGCGCTGCGTTTTATCCAAAATTGAACATTTTTCAACTCCCAGCAACCAGTAAAAACGCTCGGCACTTCAGCGTGAAAAAAACGTTCGTGGCGTTTAAAAAACGCGGCACTCCCATTGAAAACAATTGAAAACATACGCCAGGGGTGTGGAAAAACGCTTTGGTGGACACACGGCCGGAAGTTCCAGGTACCAGCCCAAAGTTCCTAGTACCTGGGGAAAGTTCCTGTAGTGGAAATGCGGATATATTGACCCAGTATCCCTATATGATTTCCTTAAAGAAAAAGTGGCGAAAATGGCAAGAGCAAAAGTTTGCTTTTGTGACAATAAGATTTTTCATAATGTTTTTGCAAGAAGTCACCAAGGCTGCTTATTTGATCAAAGATGCCGTTAACAGTTTATCACGTCCAACCCTAATTAAACACACCTGGTCCAGCTAATCCAGGTCTTCAAGATTACTAGAAACTTCTAGTTAAGGGAATTTGAGATCACCGTATTAGTGGAAACTACATAATATACGAACACACGATACATTTTCCAGTATTCCTTGATAAATGGAAAGTAAAAAAAAAGAAAACAGAATTGATTCGAAATTCGAAACTTTTCAAGGCAGTAATCTTTAATGGTTGCTATTGTAATAGTTACTATACCACATCTTTTATATTACAATGATTTATGTCTATAGAATGCAAACATTAATACTTATTAGTTCTTCAGTTAAAATATCCAAATATCCTAAAGACAAGATGAATACAATAGTGCGCGAGATCTTCAGACTTGTTTTAGGTTGTCTTTAATACAAGTATATTTTGCCTTTCGCTTATTTTTAACTAAATCAAATGAAAAAAACAATCACTGCAGTTAGACCTAAAAAACTAAAGCCTTAAAATCGTATGTATCTTGTATCTTCTCAAGTATTTTTGTTATTATATTTAGAGAATTAGATTCAGAATATGATTTTTTTTTATTCTTCCAAGAGTGTATCTGCAGCTCACATGTTTAGTGTTTGCTGTCTGTCTTTTGTCTGATGTCCTCCGCAGTCCTGCACATCTGAGAGGCCGTTTAATTACACAGGTTTGAAAAGCCCTTTAATTTTCCCAGAATTCCAAGAGGCGGCTTCCTGAAGCAGACTCTACTGTGGTCTGTCTGGGCGCACAGCCCTCCCTGAACCTCACGGGCTTCAACTTCCCTGCTCCAGTGACTTTACCTGCTTAGTTTGTTCAGTAAAGTCAACTTTGTGTCAAACGTTTCTTGAATTCCCAAGGAAAATAAAACGGACACAAATTTGAGTCATCATCCAGTATAAAATATACTGTGAAATGAATGAAGAACAGCTCATATATTGAGATCTCTGATAAATTATTGCAAATATGAGCACATTTTGAGACATTAACAGCTTTTCCATGACAGATTTGCGCAAAACTATTGCGATATTTTCAAATTGTTGATAAAAAACTATTGCGAAATGACGGTGTTTCCACTGATGTTATGCGACTAAAGCAGTGGTGGAGGAAGTACTGAATCTCAGTACTTAAGTAAAAGTACAAATACCCAGATAAATATTTACTTTAGTAAAAGTAGAAGTAACACAATGACAACCATACTTAAGTAAAAAGTACTTTATTTTAAATGTACTTTAAGTATTAAAAGTAAAAGTACTTGCATAACAATTTATTATTTTAATGTCTATTTTATAATGATTAATAAAACATTTAATTCTAACTCATTCAACCTAATAGCCTACTCCTATAATGATGTTCAATAATGATGGAAAAAAATGTCACCATTTCTGAAACAAGCTTGCAATTAGGCAATATCATGCTTATCCTTACTATATGTTAATAACTATGTTTGGCAGTAAACGCGATTCATTTATGGTGTAATTCTGAACCTCTTGGCTTGCCATAATCCTAACCAAACCAAACATATATTACACACGGTGTGTTTCCTATGCACGTAAAAACAATTTCGCGTATGAGTTGCATGATAAACACACTGCGTGTGAGACGCATTTGATAAAATGTTTCATCATGTAGACCACAAAATGTACAAAATGTATCAATATCACAATTAAATCTGGTCACAAGATAAAGATTACTTGGGTAATATTTATAAATTAGTTTAAGGGAAATTTCTTTGATTTTGTTTGTGACTAAATATTTATGAGGAAGTTTCCAGATTTTATTCCATATGAGATTATCAGCATAACCATTCCAAAATGATATAACAGCAGGTCTGGAGATTTAGTTTATTCAATGTACCCCTGACTGTAATTGTAATTCTTGAAAAAAAAAAAAAAAAGTGTGAGACGCATTTAGTGTGACCGGGTTGATATACTGTATCTATGGCAACCAAACGTCACTGGTGAGACAAACGTGCAACGAACGGATGGTCAGGTTACGTTTTGGCAGGGGAAAAACTGATCAGAAAATGTAACGAAAATGTAACAGAAGTTGTAGAAATGTAGCGGAGTAGAAAGTATAATAATTGCTGCGAAATGTAACGAAGTAAAAGTAAAAAGTAGGCACTATTTATTGTACTTAAGTAAAGTAAAGATACGTGAAAAATGTACTTAAGTAAAGTAACAAAGTATTTGTACTTCGTTACATTCCACCACTGGACTAAAGTAACTAAAAAAATGAGGGAAAGGATGTTGGTAAGTTTACGTATATTTCAGCCACCGAACAAACCAGTTTCTATTGCAGTTCAACGAAATATACCTCATGCAAGCGTAAAAAACTTTTTTGTGATATATGGGAGTTGAAATTGCAGACTGATCACATGAAGTAGCGTGTGTATGACACGCTAATTCATTTTCCATTTTTGCCGTGCTATCAAGACGCATAATCGCTTTTCAGCGTGTTTATGAACGCCGTTGACTTAACGTTATATAAATATATGACTTACCTCAACCCCGTCCCTAAACCTAACCGTCACTGGAGTTAATGGCATTTATGACTGTTCCCTTACCATCCTAGGAAAAAAAAAAGATCGCTCCCCAAATGTAGATGTACATTTTGCTTCGTTTCGCGCGGACATTTGACGGCGTGTACAGACACGCGGAACCACTCGGACGTTAATGGCGTAGACATACACGCATACACGTGGATACACGCGGATAGCTCAAAATGCGTCGAGATAACACGCCACTTGACTCGAAAGTGGCGTGTATGTTTACGCAAAAGTCATGATGTCATGTTGGAAATTGACGTATTTTCAATTTCAATTTGAAGAGTAATGGCAAGACAGCTACTGTTGAGACGTAAGCTTTAAATTGCTTAGAGAAAAAACTAGTAAAGAGATCTTATTTTTTTCTGCATTCGTATAGGAAAAAATATACATATTTAAAAATGTATCGACTAAAATAACTAGCTTCCGGCAAACGGCCTACGCATCTATTTACAGTGTAAGACTAACCCCTTACCGGATGCGTAACGTAATGACGAACACGGAAGCGCAGAGGATAAAGGACATCAAAACACCAGTCACGAATTTGAAGTGTAAAACGAGAAGTTTTAAAGAGAAATGTGGGAGGAGCTTGAATTTGTAGCCCAGCCCTGTTTGTTTGAACGGCGAGAGGCATCAAAGCTTACGCTACTCCAAGTCAACTTGCGTAGGCTGTCTGCCGGAAGCTAGTCAATATGGATATTTTTCTTACACAAACGCATCGCTTCACTTCACAAGGCCTTTACTAATCCGCCAGAGCCTTGTGGAGCACTTTTATAATGGAT